CATGCTGCGGTTTTTTCATGGTCTTTGGAGAGCTTTATCTAAGGTGTTGAGGCTTCTTCTCAAAAGCCCGGGGGGGCTCAGCGATGCTGGCTGAGAACATCTTGTCCAAATTGAATTGCGGTGGCATGTTTCTAGACAATTGGACATGTGTATGTGCCATTCGGTTGCAATGAGTCAAAGGTGATGCTGGTTCGCTTTCTCCTGTGTTGACCTCTTGCACCCCTTTTGACGCTTACCGGGTATCACATTTGCGCTGAACAAGGTGTCTCCCATGTCGAATAGAGATGGAGATATAGACTTCAACGAACCCTGACATTTGTGAGGCAATGCAAGAAATGATGCTCCAAACGGCGCTGGCGAGACACCGTTGCTGTGTGCAGCGAAGCAAGGCCATGTTGAGGCCAAGTCATTCTCAGGAAAGTGCAAGGTCTACGATTGGTGCTTGCAGTCCTTTTTGTTTGATTTCTTACGTCTCCCTGTTTGCGCTCAAATCCGTGAGGTGGCAAAATTGCTTCTCAGCAACCAGGCGGCCCTCCTGCGCTTGCGGCCTGAAAAAGTCCTCACGATTTCTGGCATCGCACTATTAGAGAAACAGGCAGATAGGAGGACCCCAAATGCCGGATATGCGTATACTGAAGGGAGACAAGTATACTGGGCCCATGCCCCAATAAATTAGTATGTATCTCCCCCGAACCCAAACTGGGCAGGCGGAAAGCATTGACATGGCAGATCGAGATGGCAACTACCTCAGAGTTCGGATTTCACAGCACTTCCAGCCCTTTTCAGAATGCCGCGCACAATTGCAAGAGTAGTGTGTGTGTGTGTGTGAGCCGTGGCTGCAAATGAGATCAAACAGCATACTGTGAAATGGGCCCATAAGTCTTCGATCCTGGTAATTGGATGGAAGCAAGCTTGCCAACGGCTGTTTAACGGCTGTTTGTCTCTGTAGCAATCACTCAAAAGCATGCAGATCAGAACTTCAAAGCAATTTTGACCTGAAGTCAGGCAATACACCATTGATTATGGCTGCTCAGTTTGGCTTTGCCGAAGCCTTGAGGCCTCATGAGGAAGATGGGAGGTTGAAGTTCAATTTTGGAGAGGGCATGCAAATATGTTTAGTGTTCCAGACAGCCCGTGATTATTTGTCAATGTTTTAACTACAGTATATTGTAAAAAATAAACAAAAATGTGATATTATATAATCCTGTAATATTATGTAAACATATATCAGTGACTATAACTATAAGGGCCCTAGTCACTATAAGCTGATATATTTTATATAGTTTGCAATTATATAAATTATATATAGAGTCCCTATAGGGGCATTCCTGTGCCCAGACTCCTGGTGAGCCGGAGTGCTTCAGTCGATCTGGCCAACAAGGCGGGTTGAGCTCCTGTCCTGGTGTTTCAGCCTCCTTCGGCAGTTCCCTTTTAAGCCTAGTCCACACTTCTAAACCTTCAAGGGCCACATGCCTGAGATGTAAAGCCAATTTGAAGCCACATACACTGTAATTGTGCCAAAAGACAGCCTGGGCGGCTGCTATATTTGCTCACGGGCAGGCGCAAGAGACGGCGTTGCTTCTGGCGTCTCAGGAGGGCTTCTCGGAGGCCTTGCCAGAGCTGGAGGGGTCATTTGAAAGCTTTTCGCTCACTCCAATCAAGAGGGGAGGGGGCCACATCGATCCTAAAGAAGAGCTGCAGGACTGGTTGTTCTTGATGAGGTTGAGAACTGCCATGCAGGGAGTGTAGACGGAATCGCTTGATGGCTCGCAAGTACAACATGTCAATCAGATTACTGTATGTAGTAATGGCATTAAAATGAAACAGGTAGCTCCAGGTAGGTGTCTTGTGCTTCTGGATGAGAGAAAGGTCGATCATTACTGCTAATCATATCTAGAATTATCTAGATAAGCTGTCTTGGAAAGAAGGGGCGAGGAGGTGGAACGTGTTCCATGAATCAAGAAAAGTGAAGGTTCTTATGGTCCTATGGTAATTACTACGGTGAAAGCACACAAGCCTCGGTTGATTTGTGATTGGATGCACCAGACGGGCAGATGAGGGCAGATTCACACCAGCCAAGATGTCTCCCTGCCACGTGACAGGTTGTAACGATTCTCTTGGAGAATGGGCTTCTTGGCGTTGCGTTTTTTTTCTTCTCATGGAGGCGGTAGGGGTTTCACATGGTAGTCAATGTGGACCAGAGGGAAGGCTCGGGCATGAACCGCCTTTTAAGGTCAAAAGCCGTCAACAAGGCAGCTGCAGATGGCGACGGGCTTGGCCTTGGGTCATACCGTTTCTTTGTTGTTTGTTGAGCGATGGGCGATGGCTAGTTGCACATTTGTCAAGCCATTGCGCTGCCACAAGCCTTAGCTGATGATTTACTGTAAGACTTCTTTGACTGATCAAATTTCGCCGTGTGGCGCATCGGCTCCAGGGTGGGCAGGAATTGCATGGAATTGCTCCGGGCAGCCACTCTACGTTTGTTTTGAGGTATCATCAGCCTCCACAGGACAGCACAAAACTGTAGAGCGCACTACCAGATACAAAAAGAAGCATTTGGAGAATCGACCGGCTCCGCTTGGCGCCATGCCTTTGCCTGTGAAAAGCAAGTCAGCAACTGCCTGGAACCAGACCAAAACAGAGGAACTACTCCAAGAGTGTGCCGACGACACTGTATGGAGGAAGCCCCCGCATCACACACAGAGTGCTGATTCTGACTCAGACTCTGACTCTGCACTAGGTGGAACAACGAGTTCATCAGAAGAAGGAGATAGTGCATGCGCTGTCAGCCCTGACGTGCCTATCCTCATAAATCCGAATGATCCTTTGTCAACGCCTGATCATTTGCTTCTGAGCCGAGCCAATTCTCAAACTCAGTATGATCAGCAGCGGCTTCTCGACAGCCTTGCTTCTTTTAGAGATACGTTGGTTGCAAACCATGCGGCAAGCCTATCAATGCTTGATCAAGAGCTGGAGAAGGTGAAACACAGCATGGCTATGGTGGCTGCCACGGCATCTACGTCTCTCCTCGTCCCAGGGAAATCAACTTCGAAGTCCAGCGCAGGAAGGGAAGTGCGAGTCAAGCTGCCTGGAGCCCTGGGCACCAGCGATGATTTCTCAGGCACTGAGTTTGTTAGAAAGTCAGCTGTTTGGGCCCTGGGCAAATGTGGTGACGTCTTCCTTCCATCTGGCTTTTTCAAAGGATTCATTGCTTTCCGCAGAGCATCTGAAGCGGAAGCCTTGTCAGCACGCTTCCAAAAACAAACACGAACTGGAGACAGACCTATTTTTGCTTGCACAACTTGCCTAACTGCTGGAAGTCCACAACTGTTCATTTCTGTGGCTTTGGCTGCTGCGAGTTGCACAGATTCAGACATCGGAAAGGTGTGTATATTGTTAATATTTACATATATTTACAATGTATTCATTCTACCCTGGATTTTCCAGGGTCGGACATTAAAGTTACCTGAGATCTTTTGTTGGACGTTTTGTCATTTGATGAACATGTCCCAAAACGAGGAGTTGTCGAGATGTAACTCGATGTAACAGACCTGTCATGACCTGTCAATTGGTTTCCTACATTTGCGTGTTCAACATTCCATGCAGAAAGAGGATTACATCTACATTCATAGTGAGTTTGTCAACTACTCCATATATTCTGTCTTTGCAGAACTTCGCAGGACTCAAGCACTCCCAAATGATGTTTTTTTTGAAAAGTAGATTACTGTAATTGCACCCTCAATTACAATAACTAATTGACATCCCCATGCTGCAAGCTTGCGTGGACTCAAATTGACTCGATCCATTTTCGCAATGCTTTTCATCGGCCCCCACTGGCACGCGGGTGCAGCTGAAGCTGACATATGGGCAATTATGTGCATTTATGTAGGTATGATATACATATATGATCATATATGTCACATGTCTATACATATTATAAAACATGTACTGTATGTGTTGTTTCCTCCTTCGTTAATCCATAGCTTTTTCCAACTCTGTGCCACGCAGCCAAAGACACGTCAAAGGCCTAGATTCTTAGATACTGGTCACCCTTGATTGAAATACTTATGTTCATGCTATTTTGTGAAACGCTGCTCAAGACATTCCATAGTGTTTGACAAGGTACGCCAATACCTACCAACATTCACATCTCGCAATGCCTCAAAAGTCACACAATCACAAACATGTTTGTGCAGTGTGCGCACCTCAGAGCTGCGATATGTGTTATTGGATTCCGCAAGCTTCAATGTGTCAAGATCGTTTATTTTGTGTTTCTATGTGTTTCTGGGTTTTTAGTCGCTTTTTAGGCCTAGATTGTTATCTAGACCGTCTAGACCCTTTTTTCTCCTCTCATGATCCCAAGGGAGAATTCTGCAGCATTGTGCAGGCGTGGACAAGAAAGGGGACGAAGCTCCCTTCGCTCACTTTCAATCGTTGGAGAAGAGTCGAAAGAGACGTCTCTCGTGGATTCCCAAGACAGGGGGAAGCTTTGAGGGCGTTGGCTCTGGCAATTTGCCAGGTTTCGGCCATGATTTGCATGTTGACACTATTGAAGAAGAGCTACCATCGGCCCCTATTGTGGCTCACTTGACCCGAGAAGAGAAATCAAAAGCCAAGAAGGAAGCTGAAGACTATCAGGAAGCAGGAATGTGTCTTGGCATGCAACCGCCTTCGTCTCCTTTTGCATTCCTATATATATATATACATTTGTACTACATGATATAGTTATATAGGCATAGGCCATTCCTTTGAACGTATCTGAACGTCCATGTCAGCATCCGATTGGACCATGCTAGAGCCCTCTTTGAAAGATTTTTAGCCGAGGTTGTCACATTTCAATGCTGACCTCGCAAAGGAGCAAATCCGGAAAAAGGCTGCAGAGGAATTTGAGATGCCTAGCGAGGTGCTGAAGAGCGATGGAATTCTAGCAAAAATCGCCAAGCATCATGTGTTTGGATCGACCACCATGGTGGTGATTTTTCTAAATGCCATTTGGATTTCTATTGACATCGAGTTCAACAACGCGCCGGTGCTCAGTGAAGCAGATGCCATTTTCATCGTTGTTGAGAATCTATTTTGCAGTTATTTTACCGCGGAGCTTCTTATACGATTCGGCAGCTACAAGCGCACATGCACGGCAATGAAAGATCTTTGGTGTCTCACCTGAAGACAGCTTTTGATAGTGTTGTTCATTATTATGGTGTTCATCGACAAGTTATAAGATTTGTAGGTATATATCAAGCCTCAAGGCCAAGGGAACTAGATTCCAACAGACTGGTTGTATATATTATATAATTACTATTATTGGATATTTTCTTTCATGTCGAATTTGGCCTGTGGCATGCCGCATGCAAGACTGTTCGCCATCAAGTTCCGTGGTAGTGTTTTTTCCATGCAGGTTTCTATTTGACTTGATGCTCGTGGCGTTGATGATCTTTGAGACTTGGGCAATGCCAATCTATTATGCCGCCAGCGGAGGTGGCTCTGGCCTAGCGAGCGGCACCAGCGTTCTACGCATCTTCCGCATCATGCGAGTGCTGCGCACAGCACGTATGGCACGTTTGGTTCGCCTCATGCCGGAGCTCATGAGCCTCGGATGAGCTTGTTTGGGCCCCCAACCGTTCCGTGTCATGGTTAACGCCACGTTGATCTCTTTGAAATGAACTGAACATATCCCGAGCTGGCATAATTGAGCAGAACATGATGAACATGTCAGAAGTATATAATACAATTTCTTAGCCCAACCGAATTAGAGCGAAAAGGTGCAAACCTTTTTCCAGCTAAAGTTGCCCTCACTCAGGGTGGGGGCAGGTCCCAGCGAAGGGAATCTAGAGTGTGGCTTTTTGGATCTTTTTGGCGCGGTCCATGGCTGTATAACCGGCTATGTGTTGCCCATTTGACATCAGCATGCCCTCCATTTTGCAATGGTTACCAGAAGGCCTGACAACTAAGGATCCTGATTAAGGGAATGATGGTCGCTTGCCGCTCGGTCTTTTTCACATTGGTGATTTGGCAGCAGAAAGAATGTGGTGCCCTTGCTATACGGATTACTACGCTGAACTGAAGTTAGGGGGAGAGGAAAGAATTCCAAGTTGCAAGCGCTGTTTTGACGAGTTGGGCATGATCCAAGGTCCTCCTCCTTCTCATCACGTACGTGTTCAGTGTAGCATTTATGACATTTGGCCGAGACAGTGAGATTGGAGATAAGTACTTTGGGTCAATGGGCGATGCAGTCATCAACCTGATCATGAGGCTCATATTTTCAGACCAGGCCTGGCAAGCTGAGCCGGCAAGTGCAGAAACATGCATCAAAGGACAGGCGTCAGTTAGGCCATTTCTACGCGTAGGCAGTGCCGGTACTATAACTCTTTTTGACAGGTGTGAGCGTACCATAAGGCGACAATGTTCCAAAGTTGAGATGAAATGTTGGAGGAGTTGTAACACAACTTCTCCATACAAGCAATGACTGATTTTCTCTCCACGTGTCTCGAACCTCGAACTTTCACAGGTCCTCGAAGCCGATGCCCATATCCCACATCCATTTCAATCGCGTGTCAGACCCGGGGCATTCTCTTCTCGATGGCAACGCGGTCGCCGACTTAAAAGGTCTGGACTTTGGAAAGTGGGCGACCACGTTGCGTGATGCGAACGTTATACCCCATTGTTTCATTGTAGTGCAGCGCGCAAGAATCCACCATTGTGCAGTTGCATAATACGCATTCAGCCAGTCACTAATCATCACTCATTGAGTTGGAGCATGCAGTGGGCACCTGACCTAAGCCTACAGCGAGATCGAACTGCACAGCATATTATTCGGGCCCCGGGCCTAAAGACAGCGAAGGTTCAATCGTCAGTCCTGAAAGTAGGTTGCATGACGCTTTGCATGAGGACAATGTAGAGCCTCCCAATGAACCACGGCCTAAGCCAAGCCACACTTTGCCTGAGCCACATGATCCACTGAGACGGATTCGTGGCCAAGCCTCAGGGCCCTTGGAGCTTGGTGGCGCCCAGCGAAGCAGAATAGTTCCCAACTGCCAAAGATGCCGTGCTGGGACGATGTTGAATGAAGCTGGGTCCCTCAGTTCGGAAAGCCAACGTAACCAGGGTGTGCAGGAACGTGTTTGCCAGGAAGCGGCCTGCACCCCTTTGAAAGATTCAGCAATCATGAGGTATGGCAAGTGGGCTCGTGACAGATGAGTTGATTCGCCTTCAGTTTGTGCTGAACGGTTGACCTATGAATGGGCACAAGTTGTGCGCAAGCACTAAAATACTTGACCACCCCCCCATGCACTACGGCCGTCAGGCGAACGCGCTCATCTCCAGCATACCATTCCACTGCGATCAGCATCATGGCCAATCAGTCTTGCCCGAATTCCACCTGTGCTGGCTTCGATGCCGCAAGGATGGTTGCCTTGAAGCTGTGTGGGGGGCATTCTTTGAGCTTCGTCTGCTGGACAACCCGCCCTGGTCAGATCTCACACACCTGCAGTCAGCTTCCGAGGCAGGCGCCCATCAATCTCGGATCGAGATGGGATGCTGTAGTCTCCGTGATCGCACACTGACGTGCTGCAGACCAGGCTTGTGCCATGACATGTCCAATGAGTCCACGTGTAAAGGGCCAATAAAGACGGGGCACTTGCACCGTGTTGATCTACCCAGCAGTTGCTGCTTTGCAAGAAACGTCAAGGCAGAAACGCAGACGTCCCGCCACCACGCTGCAGTCTCCAAACCTCCACCATTGCCACCGTCAGCGGCGTTGCTTGATGCAAGGGCTTCTTTGTTTCCTACGCTCCTAGTAGCGTCCTTGTTCCTAGTAGTACGACCAGGAGCCCCTAGTAGCGTTCTCGTTACTGGTAGCGATGCCCTTTGCTCCTAGTAGCTTCCTCTCGGGGCCGGAAGCGCCCATCGCTAGCCCACGGGGGCGCATGTGACGCACGGCTGTCCTCAATTCTGATACACCTAGAGTCGAGCGTTTAAATCCGCTTCAGCGCTGCATTCGCTCCCGAATGCTTTATATATATAATATGTATATATATATATATGTATATAATTGTCTTGATGGCCGGTCCTAAGGGTCCAAGACTTCGATTGTGGCTAGTTTGCACACTTTTGCCCGCTGATGACAGACTTTGCCCGCTACTACGTGAGCACTTGTGCAAGCCCCTTCACCGACCGTGTCCCTGTGGGACGGCTGGGCGCCAGCCAGACTCTGGAGAGACAGAGAGAGAGAGAGAGCGAGAGAGAGCCGGGGCGAGCACAAGCGCGTGTTCCTTTGAGTATCCTTTGTCCAGGAACAGTGCGTTTTAAGAGACACATTTCAATGGGGTGTTCCCCCACCCCACCCAACAGATTGTCTGGTGGTTGTAGGTTGCCTGTTGGTTGGGTTCGTGTTCCACTCTTCAGAGATTTTCAGAGCCTGTTGCCACCCTTCCCCCACCCCGCCCATTAGATTGTTTGCTGGCTGAATCTCCTTCCACTTCCACCTTCTCCCCTCTGAAAGTGCGCAAGTGAGTGTTCGGTGCGCAAGTGAGATAAAAGTCCAGTACGCGAGTGAGTGCTTGGCCGATAGCCCGTGTTCGGGCACAGAGGCCTTTGAGCCTGATTCGCGACCCCCCTCCAGATTTGGGCCACTATGTTCGACTGTTGGACACTAATTAGGCCCGGCCGGTTGGAACAGCGAGAGAATTGGAAAGAGACTCGGACTTAGTAGCTTCTTCCTACTAGTAGTAAGGCCAGGAGCTACTAGTAGCGTCCTTGTTCATAGCGATGCTCGTTGTTCCCAGTAGCTTCTAGATGCTTCTAGTATATAGTAGCCCTAGCCGCCCCAACCGAAAACTTTGTCAAGATTTGGAGCGGCACACCCACTCAAGAGTCACGCATGTGGCGGGCGGAGTGAAATTGTGTGGTCAAGCCCTGCTGGTTTAGTATTATTCTGAGACTGGGGTTTTGGAAGCACTGGCGCTGTGTTTGCGCAACCGCAACCCGTAACCCGTCCTTTTTTTTGCATAAGGTCGTGGACACGCTCACGCTGCCGTCCAGTCCATGATGGGCCTATATCATCCTTTATCATACTATGAGTCAATGTGACAGACTATGGTCGAACATGGTTGTTGCAAACCGGCAACTTCTGCGCATAGGGAGTACTATCTAGAACTTGTGGCGGGGGCGTAAACGTAAGGCAACCATGCCCATCAAATTGTGAGATGAACGTTTGGAGTTGTAAAACGGGTTCTTCATATGTTTGACTTTCTCTTTGCGTGAGCTTTCGGTTCTCGAAATCCGATGGACACTTCAGTCTATCTCTGCGCAACCGCGCAACGTTCAAAAAAGAAATACGTACCAGCGTTGACCCCAAACAGTTTGCTTGGTCCAAGTCCAAACTCATTTTGTGAATTGGTATTGGCAATGCAGGCGTCAGGCACCAAATCATTGCCGTGGCGTCTGGTTTGTGAACAACACAAGCACTCCCTTGCTGAACGTTTAAAGACACAATCCGCCAAAAGTTGTGTCGGCGCCCTGGAGTTTTCTTCCCTTTCAATAATTGTTTTTTCTGCCATGCGGCCAAAGCACCCACAGGAGACTGGAGACAGTGGGGGACACGTGGGGGACAAATGTAAAATATTGTAAAATCATGCGGCCAAAGTGGGAGACAAGTCTAAAATCATGCGGCCAGAAAGCACCCACAAAGGATTGGAGACAGTGGAGGACAAATGGTAGTCAAGTGTAAAATCATGCGGCCAGAGCACCCACGAGGGCGCAGATAGTGGAAAACAAATGTATTACACCACCGTAGACCCCAAACAGGTGGGACAACAAAGAAGCATTCCCAAGTCCATTTTGTGAGATATGGGAGACAAGAAGGAAGAGAAAGTGGACACACTGACCAACAAGAAGGGAAACATTATACCAGCGTAGACCCCAAACAGAGCAATGTTCAAAAACGAGATCTCCGAACAATATGGCCAGCAGTATTTCCTAGAGGAAGAAAACTGTAGTCCACCATGTAGACGCACATACAAGATTCAAAGGGAAAGCATTAAAATTCTGTTTTTCATTGACTTTGCAATGGGACGTCGTACAAGGGCTAAAACATGAAATTTATGGATCCAGGTTGTGACTCAGAGCATCCAGAGCTTACTGGGAGACAAGTGGGAGACAAGTGT